TAGATCTCAGAGCAGCTTCCCTCTCACAGCATGAGTTTTCAGAGGCACACTGGCTCAACAACGGTTGATTCCAGCTTGGTTGCTGCTGTGTGGGTGCACAACGCGCCCACTAAGACTTGCATATTGACTTGTCGTCTCTCGATAATTGCACCAGTTGGTCGGGAATCCCGCAAGTTCAGTCACAGATTTGTTGACGACTGCTTTCCTGCAGCAGGCTGCAGCCTACGTCCTTTTGTAGTCCAAACTTTTGCACAGTTTCTTGCACAGTTTCTGCTCACGCCCACCGCCGAGGACGACTTTCTCCACTGGCTGGGCGCCGAGCTGGGCTCCTTGGGGCTGGATGTGGCGCTCCCAGCGGGACGTCCCTGGGTCCGCAGGAAGGGAGGGGCGCTGTTGAAGGGGAAGAAGGGAGGCGAACGGAGGAGTGTGAGTTGTGAGCTGGTGATCGTGTTGGGTTGGTTGGAGATATGAGATATATTTTAAGATATTTTCAGTATTCTTGGGTTCAGCCGGCATCAGTCCTTTTGGTTTTTGTGTGTTGAAATGTTTGGAAGGTTGAGAGTCCATCGTTTGCGAACTGTATAAACGCATATTCCAGGCACAAATGTAGAAGTCTTAGCGGTAGCGCGAGAGGACAGGCGCTGGTTGAACTGCTCAGGCACCTTGCACCGCTGGTTGAATGCATCCCCTTGCTACTGGTTTTGTCTCATGGGGAGCTCGCCAACCAACCAATGGACCAGTAGATGTTGGCCCTCGAGACACAGAGACGCTCAGAGACGCTCTCACATCACCAGTTGACCTCGACCCAGGAGGCCGTGAGGCCAGCATTTGTCACGGGCTCAGAGCCTAGAGCCTGGTGAGAAGGCGGCGTTGGAGAATGGACCATCATGAAGTGTATATATAGTTTGTAATTATAGATTGTATAGTCACCGGAATTGATCAGATGTAGCACCAGTTACATGTACATGACATAGCTTGTATAGATGTATGTTTCACTGCAGCCGTTTGTGGTTTACTTTTGTGTTCATTTCGATACCAGAGCTCAGTCAAGCGTGAGCCAAAAGTGGGCCTAAGCTTCTACTCCAACCTTTGGGACAGTGACTTGGGGTCACAGAGTTTAAGAGCCTAAATTCTCCGTTCATGGTAGCGGAGCCGCGGTTCTAAGACCCGGCTACCGTCTGCGAATCAAAGGTTGCCGAGCCGCATCGGCTCTGGCACCGGAGATCCACAAAACAAGCATCACTTGCAGGAAAGCCGGATTGCTTCAATCCCTGGCTAGCAAGTCAACATGGCGCAACAGCCAGGAGCACAGGCACCACAAGCCACAGACATGGCACAACAATTTGCACAGATGATGCAAGCCCTAGCACAGGGGCAGAGCCAATTGCAACGAGCAATGGCAGAAGCATATACACAACAAACGGCAATCACAAGGAACATAGCCACTAGCGTAGAAGTAAGAGACAGATCCGAGTTGAAAGGCATTCCAAAGCCTGACAAGTTCAGTGGACACACAGGTACCTGGGATTCATGGTACTTCAAGTTCAAGACTTGGATTGAGACAAGTCACAAGAATGCAGGAAAGTGCATTCAGCTCCTCGAAGAGCATCAAGACACAGAGATCAATGAGACATCTCTGGAAGATGATTATCCTGAAGGAGCCGAGCTTGTTTCAGCTCAGGCCCGACAGGCTCTGATCTCACTATGTGAGGGAGAAGCCCTCGAGATTGTCAAGAATACCTCCAGAGGTCAGCACTTTGGCCTAGAGGCATTGAGACGATTGATCACCAAGTATGATCCACAGAACCCACAAGCAAACTCAGCTTTGCTGAAGAAGGTCCTGCACCCACAACAGTGTGCATTGGACAAGCTCAGAGAGAGCATAGAAGCCTGGGAAAACATCAGGCGAAAGTATGAAGAGCGGAAGAAGAAAGCTCTTGATGATGACATCGCAAGAAGTTGTCTTCAGCAGATGTGTCCAGCCAAACTTCAAGATCACCTTGACCTCCAGAGTTCAAGACTCACTGACTATGCCATCATGAAGTCAGAGATTTTGGCCTACCTCGAGAACATCGAGAGCCGAAAAGAAGCAAAGACTGGATCAGCACCAATGGATGTTGATGCACTAGCCGCAGCTGCCAGCCAGATGCAAGCTTCACTTGCAAGTCTGGCTAAAGCCAAAGGAAAAGGCAAAGGTGGCTCAAAAGGCGGCAAAGGAAAAGGAAAGAGTCAAGATGGAGGCAAGGGAAACGACAAAGGTAAACAGAAGGGAAAAGGTTCTTCGTGGTCCAATCCCTCATCATGGAACAACTCATGGAACAAGAACGATTGGTATAAGAATGATTAGAACAAGAGTAGTTGGTACAACCAAAACTCCAAGGGTAAAGGCAAAGGTGGCAAAGGAAAAGACTCTAAAGGTAAAGGCAAGAGTAAGAGTAAGAAGGTAGCTTCAGTTGAGGAATCTGAAACCTCTATGGCTCAAGAGCATCAACCCGAGCCTGAGTATTCCGCTGACATCGCCACCCTCTTTGCCATCGAGATGGAGAAAGCAGCACCTGCCGCAATTTCTCGTGGAGCAGCCAAGGCAAAAGCCGAGACTGAAGTCAAGGCTATGCCAAAGAAGCCAGGAGCTGGAAAAGGTCGTCCTGGAATTGCAGCTGCTGGGATTGCAGTCATGAACCAAGCAATCCAAGAGACCATGCAGTCCAATCGCGAGCTGTATGAGAAGAAGTCTGAGACAATCCAGAAGGCCATCGAAGAGGCCGAAGCCAAAGGCAAAGCAGCCAATGACGCCATCTTGGAACAACAGGCCGAGATGAAGAGGCTGAAAGAACAGTATGAAGAAAAGGAGAGAGAGGCCAAGATCTTGCTGAAGAGACCAACTCCTCGCCGCGCCGCTTCGGTTCCGGCGGAGTCGCCAAGGCTTTCAGCTGATTTGGCATCAGGTATGGATCCAAGATTGGCCAAGAAGAAAGAGAAGAGCCGTCAGCGCGCCGAGCAGCATCGCGTTGACAAGGCCCAGGATCGTTTCGAATCCTGGCGCGACTATGAGGCCAATTACCCTGAGGAGCTCGACTACTATGAGATCGCTCGTGCCAAGGGTACTGGTCGACTTCAAGCTTGGGATGATGAAGATGATGAGGGAAAGTTTGATGAAGCCCCTCAGCCTCGAGGTCGAGAAAAGGCCCAGAGGCATCGTGGCTACAAGAAGCCAGGCAAGGCAAAGAAGCCTGAAAAGCCAAAAGAGAAGGAGCCCAAGTTCGAGGATCTCTCCACCCAAGAGTTGGCAGAGATGAAGCGGGAAAGCCAAACATGGACGGCTACTAGCCATCCAGCCCGCAGTGTCATCGACAAGGCGCTCACTGCAGCTGGGTTCAACCCAGAGGACTATGTTGTGATGAAGCGCGTCGAAAGCCAAGGCGAAGGAGCAACAAGCGCACCATCCTTCGCAGCTCCAGTCATGGAGAACATCAATCCCCTTGATGTGACTGAGATCGAGGGACTCGAAGAGGAAGAAGAGTTTGAAGGTGAAGTTGAAGAGGATGAGAATGGCACTGAGCCAGCTGACGAGGAGTCAGATGGACAAGAAGAAGAAAAAGAGAAAGATACCGTGCCATGGCTCGATCACATGTTCCAAGAGCGCATCCTCAGCTATGATGAATGGGTAGCCAAATGCACCCACAAGAACAGAGATGGCAGCAAGAATATGGTCTGCCGTGCGTGCAACAAGGCCCTGAGGTGTGACAATGACACCGGCCTATGGAACCATCATATGGCTTTGAATTGTTGCCCGCCAAAAGTCCTCAACCAGTGGGCAAAGGAATGGACGATCAAGCAGAAAGAGATGGGAAAGCGCATCAAGACTGCCAAGGGACAGCAAGGCAGCCCAACCTCAAAAGATGCGCCAAAGCATGTGAAAGATGCCGACATGGATCTGAAGCCCGAAGATGTGGCAAAGCATTTGAAGATGGAAGATCCAAAGCTTGAGACTGTCAAGAAAGGAGGTCCTTTCTACATGACTGCCCATATGCAGAAGATGATGGAAGAGCAGGAGGAGGAAGATGAAGTTGGCCCAAAGACGCCAAAGCAGAGGCGCATCGCCAAGACACCTCCACCTCCTGAGAAGAAAGGCAAGACCAAGGAGGAGCGCGTGGCCTGGTTCAAGAGCTCGACTGAAGAGCACCAGGAGCGATTCCGTGGACCAGGATCCAAGCCAGAGGAATCCAGCGAAGCGCCAAGGCAGACGCTTCGGCTGAAGCCCCGGTCACGATCCCCGGGCAAAAGCCGAGCCGCTTCGGCTCCGGCTGCCTCCGAGAAGGGCCAAGGAAAGGGCAAGCAGAGGAAAGTGCAGTTGACTCGAGCCGTCAACGTGGCCACTCAGGATGCTGCCCGTGAGGCCAAGAAGGGAAAGGGAAAACGATATCCCACTCCCTCAAGCGAGCCTGATGAAGGCGATGACGATCCACTCGCTCTCAAGAGTTTGGAGCTGGCATCCATGGAGACGCCAATGGCTCATCAGGTGACCTTGGATTCAGGAGCCGCGACCTCCTGCATCCCTGTTGAACTGGCCACCGCATTGGGCTACAAGCCTATCCAGCCTGAAGGCACCTGCAAAGTCTACAAGACTGCCTCAGGCGAAGTGGTCAAGGACCTTGGCAAGATCGATGCCATGGTGACCATCGGCATCGGCCAGAACTCCCTCAATGGACGTTGCTGTTTCCGGGTGATGGCGGTTGCAAAACCGCTGCTCTCCGCTGGGGCCCTTATGAGCAAGGGCTGGTGCATTCAGATGCACGGATCTGGTGGACAGATCTCCCGAGACGGAACTAAGATTCCGATCTCGTTCAGCAACGGCGTCTGTTCTGTGCCGCTTGCATTCCACCCTTTCGTCCGGCACCGCAATGGGTAAGCCCGGTGGAGCAGGCCGAAGAGGCCGAGCAAGGCGACGAAGTGCCGCCTGAGCTCAAAATCCATGCTCCCACTCGCCCGACGAGAAAAGAGTTCGAAGAGCATGCTGTTTCACACTTCCCTTTTAGGTCTTGGTGTGAAGCCTGTGTAAGGGGAAAAGCTAAGGCAAACCCTCACAGGAAGATAGACCACACCGATGAGACAACCCCAGTAGTGACTGTAGACTACTGTTTCATGAATTCACGAACTGATGATGTAGTTTTGGACGAGAAGACTCATGCACCAATTCTTGTTGTCAGAGATCGATGGACGAAGCATCTTTTTGCTCATGTGTTGCCCTACAAAGGTGTGACAAAAGGTCCATACGGATCCAAAGTACTTTTGAACGACATCAAGAAACTAGGATACTCCAAACTGATCATTCGACATGATCCTGAACCTGCACTCACATCCGTTGTTGAGGCAGTAAAGAATGGGTTTGAAGGAACCCTGATCATCGAGAAGAGCCCGAAAGGAGTCAAAGAATCCAAGGGAGAGATTGAACGAGCAGTTCAAACCTTGGAAGGACAAGCCAGGACTCTTCGAGCCGCGATCGAGTCAAACTATGGTGAGAAACTTCCTGACGATTCACCTGTTTTGACTTGGTTAGTTGAACACGCATCCACAGTCTACAATCTGTTTTTCCGATCAACCGAACTTCAAGACGGAAAGACTCCGTATTCACGACTTCGTGGACGTGAATGGAAAGTAGCAATTCCACCATTTGGTGAGGCCATCGAATACCTCAAGAGAGGCCACAAGTTCGAGGCCCAATGGACCAAAGGAATTTTTCTAGGAGTGAAAGACACAACCACAGAGAAGATAGTAGGAAACGTCTGTGGAGTTTTCACAGTGCAATCCATTCGAAGAAAGCCAGAAGAAGATCGATATGATTCAGAGTTGCTGAAATCGATCACTGGAATTCCCTGGGATCCTCAAGCAATTCGCGAAGAACCAGCGATTGCAGCCCCAAGGGAACCAATCATTGCCAGCCCAAGTGATGAAGCTTTAGTTCAACCACCGGCAATCGATGACAAGAAAAGAAAGCTGAGAAGACTTTACATCACCAAGAAAGACCTGGAAAAGTTTGGGTACACAGCAGGTTGCCCAGCTTGTGATGCCACACAGATTGGCAAGAGATCTACAGGCATCCATCACACCAACAGGTGTCGAGACAGACTTGAAGAGAGCATCAGAGGAGAAGAAGAAGAGAACCCAAGAGTAGCAAGACATGAAAGCCGAGTTGGAGAGGCAATCACTGGCATGCCACAACCCGTCAGTGGCAAGAGACCTCAAATCCTTCATGGATATGAAAGTAAAAGACCATCGGGAGTTCCCGATTCGTGTCGAGTGTTCGCACGACTTGACGTCGAAGCTTACTGTTTTCAAACCACCATGCCAGGAGGACCTGATTGGTCTACCGTCTGGCACCGAGTCACAAGAAACCATGCAAACAATGCAATCATTGAGAGTGGAGTCATGACAACAGACCTACCACCAGAGATACTCAATGGAGCATTACCACACAAGATGGACATTGTGACAGAACTTTGGTACGAACCAGAAGCAGCACCACCAACACCAGGCACAGCATCAGCTTCAGCATCAGGTATTCGCAGACCACGCGAACCTGAACCACATGGAGAAAAGAGAGAACACGAAGAACAACATGAACCAGCAGGATCACCCACAGCAAAAGCCAGAGTAGATAGAGACAAGAAGAGAAAGGCAGAAAGCGAACATGAAGATGAAGCCGAGAGAACAAGAGACATCCAGAGCATTGAGATGGCTTTAGAAAGCCTAATCCTAGACGACAGAGAGAGAGTGCTATCTAGCATCGACCCAGAGAAACCAGTGTGTGAAGAGAAGATCCCACTGCCAGAAGAAATGGCAGAAGAGGCAAAAGACTGGTGGTACTATGACGACATCAGTGGAAAAGAGCTGCTACCTGAGAAGGTAGAGAAAGCCAGAAAAGATGAAATCGACATTGTCGAATCAATGGGAGTCTGGGAAAAGATCCCAAGAAGCAAAGTTCCAAAAGGAACCAAAATCATTGGAACTCGATGGGTAGATGTGAACAAGCAAGATGAAACCAATCCTCTCTACAGAAGTCGATTGGTAGCGCAAGAGATCAAAAGAGGCTCAGGTTTTGACGAATTTTTCGCAGCTATGCCGAGCCTAGCAGCTTTGAAGCTACTGCTAACCATTGCAGTCAGCGACAGTCTTCCATTGGAGAAAGGCGAAAAGCGAAAGACAAAGCAATCTTTCCTAGGATTTTTGGATGTGAAGAGAGCTCATTTCTACTCCAAAGCAACAAGAGAACTCTATGTTGAAATTCCATCAGAAGGCAAGAAACCAGAAGATGGAGATGTGGTAGGAAGATTGGTCAGAAGCCTTTACGGCACCAGAGACGCACCCATGAATTGTGAGCTGACCATTGCAGAGTTTATGAAGAAGCTAGGATTTGTTCAAGGCAAGTCCAACCCATGCATCTACTACCATGCATCCAGAGAACTTCGAACAGAAGTGCATGGAGACGATTTCACGACAGTTGGAAGTTTTGATGACATCAAATGGTTTCACACTTCAGCAGCCAAAGAATGGCAAGTTGTGGAACGAGGCATTCTCGGTCCACCAGGTTCACCAAAGGCAAGCCAACAGATCAGAGTGCTGAATCGCATCATCACCTGGTCAAATGAAGGCATTTGGTGGGAACCAGATCCAAGACATGCAGAGTTGATCATTAAGTGGTTAGGCACTGGTCAACCAGGCAAGGTCAAAACACCTTTGGCCAAGCCAAGTCAAGAGGAACTTCAACATGAAGAAGTTCCGCTGAGTGCCGAAGATGCAACGATGTATAGATCTATTGCTATGAGAGCCGCGTATTTGGCACAGGATCGACCTGATCTGCAAACTGCAACGCGCTCATTGGCACAAGGTCTACAGAACCCAACATCAAGGCACTGGAATATGCTGAAACGATTGGCTCGATATGTCAGGTATCGACCAAGAGTTGCACAGTTGTTTCCAAACCAAAGCACCTGCAACCCCTTCAACATGTGGTCAGACGCCGACCATGCAGGTTGCATAAGGACACGAAAGAGTGTGTCAGGAGGCGTGCTCATGGCCAACAAATGCTGTCTCACAACATACAGCAAAGGCCAAGGAGTTGTCTCCCTGAGCAGTGGCGAATCCGAGTACTACGGACTTGTTTCCGGAGCATGTCAAATGCTTGGAATCGCATCAACAGCAAGAGACTGGGGATTGTTTCCCAGCAAAGAGGTGACAATGGACGCTTCCGCTGGCATCGCCATGGGAAACCGTCGAGGTTTGGGACGAGCTAAACATGTTGACACTCAATACCATTGGGTACAAGAGCGCACAGCAAAGAAAGAGTTTCGTCTCAAGAAAGAAGGCACCGACCGAATGTTGGCCGATGTGCTAACGAAAGCTGTCACCGAGGAGAAAATGACAACAGCCATGAAAGGCATGAACTTCCACTACTTGGAAGGTGAGCATGAACTGACTTTGAAAGCGTGAACGGCTTGAGCTAGAGTAGGTACATCTTGGTCTTGAAGAGGTACTGAAGGGCTACTAGCTAATTCACCGAAGTGCTAATCCTGACTCGCTTAACTTCTGGGAGATGTTAAACTCGGGAGGCGTGATCAGATGTAGCACCAGTTACATGTACATGACATAGCTTGTATAGATGTATGTTTCACTGCAGCCGTTTGTGGTTTACTTTTGTGTTCATTTCGATACCAGAGCTCAGTCAAGCGTGAGCCAAAAGTGGGCCTAAGCTTCTACTCCAACCTTTGGGACAGTGACTTGGGGTCACAGAGTTTAAGAGCCTAAATTCTCCGTTCAGGAATGGCGAACCTTTGATTTGATTTCCAGCATGATCGAAGCCGATCTGAAGCAGAAAGACCTTGCATCGCATTCGCAGTGCATGGTAGTCTCCCACACAACAGTCTTTTTTGCGCCCCATACGGAGAAAGCTGAAAACCACTTAGTGTTGGATCAAACGCTGTGTTCTTGCAGCTCTAAGGCAGAGATTTGCCCGATTTGGCCCGGGTCTCCATGCAGGAGGCGACGGGTTTTCATGGGATCTTCAAAGGCCCAAAGGCCCTTTTGAGATCACAAGAGACAGGATTGGACTGCATGGAAGGGTGACGAAGGGTGGTTTGGTGGCTGTCTCTGAAGTTTGTTCAGGAAAGCCGTGACAACAATACCAAAGTCATTTCACCTTTGCAAGCTATTTCTCTCTCTCACACACACATTTTCAATGTAGGAAGGTTCTGTTGGTCGTGTGACACAAGACTCATGGGCAGTGACAAGACAAGAGCTTGCAGATGCTAAGAACATTTGGATGTAACTGATGGATTGTCGAACCCATGATTGATTCTTCATGAGCAACTGTATGGGCGGGATTTGCCGGGCTCGTTTACCGCCGTCCCGACTTGACCGCATCATGCTCCTTGGACCAGTCCCATGCTCCTTGACAAGCTTACAATGGTTTACCATGGCACATATGGGACATGCGAGATGAAGAAGGTTCACATCCCTCACCTGTCATCGAGCTCGTCCCACTGGGGCAAAACACCCCGCTGCAGGTGCAAGCAGCACGGTCTCGCAGGAAGCAGAAGGCAGCGGTCCGGGTTGAGCGGGGTTTGGGGTTCTCAGGGGGCCATCATCACTGATGTTGATGACAAACATGATGTTGACACAATGCATGACATCATATTAATAAGTTACACAAGTGACCAAGATCATGCATGTCAAATGTCAAGAAAAACACCAAAGATGCAGGGTCCCTTCTTGCGCTGACACCAAAACAACAGCCGCAAAGGCTGTTTTTACAAATCATTTCTATGTTTAGAAACACGTTCTGATTTGGTCTCATGTTTGGGTGCCCCACAGGGGGTCACAACAATATATATATATATATATATAAGAAGACCATGAAAGCTGTCAAAGGGTGTCTTAAGTTTTAAGATGCGTTAAGGGTGTATATGTAACTATGTTGGAGTGAAATGTGAAAACTATTGAAGACTGGCGCGTGGAGTGCGCAACTACAGTAAATATATTTTGGAAACTTGCCAAGGAGCAGCAACAAACTTAAGTGTGAAAAAGGAGTTGCTGCGTTTGTGCCACTAGTGCAGGACCAGGAGGGTAGATGGTTTGTTTTACTGTGATTGATTTGCAATGCAACTTTATTTTTAGAATGTTGTGGAATGTTTTCCTAGCATATCAAACGCTTTTGCATGTAGACCAGAGGCCCTGTACTTGTAGCCTCCAAGAGGTTTTCTTTAGAGGATCCCAGATCGGTGCCATGCCCTCAGAAATGACATAAACATACTATATATTTAAACTTTAAGAGGACGGTAGACGTGGCATTAGGGATTATCAAAGATCACACTCTTCACTAGAATCAGCTAATCCGAATCCAACTTTGCCCCATCCCCACTCTTGCGACTGGATGGGGCGTGGCCGGGCATGGCCTTGGAAAGCAGAGAACAACATGAGAGGAGTGACAGTAGGCACCTGGAAGATAACATCGGATGCTGGTGTACTATAGGCCATAACGTGGGGATGGGCCAGAACCTGGAGCCCTGGTCGTAGCCAAAAACCTTCCAGGTCAACTGGTCGGTATCCGCCAGGTCAATCAGCCTGAAGAGGTCGCTGAAGACAGCAGCACCAGTTCAAGACAGAAGGCGCCCTGGGATGGATTGATGGATTGATTGATGGATTGATTACCCTTCCTGGAACTAACATGGAAGTGGAAAACACCCTGTTTGTGGAGGAACACACCTCTTGTCTCAATGTGTTTGGCCACATGCATGCATGGTTGAGTTGCCTTTCTAATTGGGTGCATTGTGTTCATACAGTCATTGGTTTCTCCTCTTTGCTTCAAAACCACAGCGGATTCTTTGTTTCATATTCTCAGTCTCTTTTGGGTCATCAGGTTTTTCCGTAACCCACCCGGTTTCTACGGAGACGAGAGGTCTACGGAGCGGAGTGGACCCGAGGTCGTGCGAGAAGCCTTTGGAGGGTTCAGTCGTCTCCCAAAAAGCCATGCCATCCACTTCCATGTTTGTTCCAGGGACGTTTGAGTCTAATTCTTGCTCGATTTGTTTCTCAAAAACAGCTAGGAAAGTGGGGCCTCTACTTGACACCCAGGCTGAACATATACAGGCTCAGAAGCAGGGCAGATTTGCTTTCCCTTTGGCAGCTACACTTGTACTTATATTATCCAACTGGGCTTGGGGCGAGTCCGATCAGTTTTTTAATGTACTCGCATGGACATCCAAGGCTAGACAAAGCAACAAAAAGCGAGGAATTGTTCCATCAGCTGATCCAAGCAGCCGCACATGAAGTCAGGGTTCATCTCCACATCACCCGGCGCCGTAGTTCGTCTCGCCCTGACAGGCGAGCCGTTCGCAGAACTTGCTACAGGCAAGGGCCGGGATGACTCCCCCGGAAGGGGAAGGGCTTCGGTGTGGGCTGTGAAAGACTGAAAGGGCACCGAAAGGGCCACAGATGATCAGAGATCGCCTTTTTTTCTGATGTCCACCTTTGATTCAGAAATGGGCCGCCCTCCTCTCAAGACCCATTTTCAATATAGTACTGTGGAATACAGTGGATCATTTTTCTGCCAGCAAGATTCTTTAGCTTTATTTAGGGTACGCTTTATTTAGGGTAGTATGGTGGCTTCAAGGGGGGTATCCCTTCCAGACAGATTTTGGTCCATTGTTGGTGGGTTGTGAATAAGGAATTTGTAAAACAATATGATTAGAAGGTTTTGGGGTTTGGCGAGTCCAAGTGATGCAATTAAGAGGGAAGGATGTAAGAAGGGATGCAAAGAAGGAACCAAATATATACAGTAAAAAAGAAGTGCAAGGCACTAACCTAACTAAAGCGCTAAAGGACAGGAGTCTTGTTCAAGACTTTTGTTAGAAGGCTAGATTTGGGATATCTAGGTCCAGGGTAGAAACATTTAGCTTTATTCAGGGGTATTTTCTTATTTGGTTTTGGGGGTTGCTTAGCTTTATTCAGAGTCATTTTCTTAATTGCATAGGTCGACATTGTTGGTTGTTTGATTAATAGAGAGGATTCCCCTGGTCGTGTACAAGCAAGAGGTACATGGTACCAAACCGACTCGACCCCTCTTCCTTCTTCCCCTTCGTATGGACATCACTGGAAAGGGCACAAATTGGGCGAGGACGAGAAAGTGACTAAGTGTCCAAGCCACAGGCCTCGACGACAGAGGTCACCATCCCTCATAGTCCTCCACCTAGACTTAGACTGAGTAGAGATGACAAAAAGAAGGTAAGGAGTCCCCTTTAATAAGGCAGGGGCCCTTACCGTCTTCTTAGCTCAAATATGTTCAAATTTGTTTCCTTTTGCCATAGGGCCCTATGGATTCGTATGGACCGCAGCGGTCATTTGGGAGGCAGCGACTCTCCTGCTGCTGGACCAAGTGTTGCACCGATAGGAACACCAAGCGGAATGAATAGACGATCATCAAAGCCTTCAGGGTCTCGAGGATATTTTCTGCTTGATCTAGCTGTGATCAGCTGTGTATCTGAACCCAAACTGGTCGCTGCTTTGTTTGAAACTGGGTGCCGATAACTCGTGGCGCTGTGAGGCCATTGCGCGAGATCCGCTGGTGTCGGGAGGCCAAAGCGGCCAAGGTCCACAGCAGCCGATGCCTGACGATACACAGAGATTGCAAAGTCTGTATCAACTGCAACTGATGACTTGAAGCGCCGATGACTTGAGGATTTCTGCGTTTTTGGTACACTTGTCCTATTTTGTGTATGTTCGGGAGGTCCTGTTTTTTGAAACAAACCTTTTGTCTCACTGCTCACCATCTCGGGTATGAGAAGCCTTGGCAATAGCGCCTTCTCTTAGTGAAGTGAAAAGTGCCTGAAACAAACGGTAGATCCCGCGTTCTTGAGTGTCAGCTCATGCAGCCCTTCTCGAAATGCCCAAAGGTTCAATTCAAAGTCCAAAAAGAGGCATGATAGATAGACCTTAACTGGGAATCTACCTTAACTGTCGGTAGCAAACAGACTCATAATAATAGTAGCATGCCGGCAATACCTGATGTTGTTCTACCCGATTGGGCCCTATTCTACAAGCTAACATGGCCTCGTGAACTGATCATCTATACCTGGACCCTCCAAGGCGTGTCCAATGGACTACCCCACACCACCTATAGGCTTCCAGACAGGGCACCCCTTGGAGGGTCCTATATTGAATCTATGATCTACCGAGGAGCTTCGCTAGGGTGTTCCAGACTGAAATCGACAAGGCCAAAACCATCGACCCAGGGAACCCACGGCAAGGTGAACACGCTGCATGGGGGGGCGGCCCAACCTTCCACGTCCTACTCAGGTTCGACCCACTTCAGGGCAATGCGGGCGCTGGAGGGTTGTCCCTTGACTTGGTGTAGCGCAAGCTGGAGGGTGGTCGCTTTGCTGGCCTGAATTCATGGTGGTTGTTTAAAGGTACCAAACAGGTGCAGGCTGGACAGATTTTGTGGAAACATCCGAAAACTGTTTGAGGACGTTGTGGTGGTTTATGTCGACCTGTGTGACATAGAGCATCGTCCTTTTCGAAGAAACATTCACTGTAGTGAGTCTTATGAATCTCAGAGATTCTCAGTGTGGACCTGCGATATTAGTAATGAGTAATAGGTATAAGCCAACCCTCGGCTCCAGAATCGATTTGCTTAAGCTTCATCCCAGCATAGGAAACTGCATGTGCTCGCATAGGAGGTCGTTGAGGAATCTTTGCTTTCGGCTAAAAATAAGCTTTCCAAATTACAACCAACACGACCATGTCACCCCCAGCACCCTTTCCCCGCCAACCCAACGCCACCAGCATCAAAGCGACCTTCACACACGACGCACCACACGACGCACGCAGATCGACGCTCCACACGACGCACCACGCGACGCGGCACCGACGAGTCCTGCGTGGCGTTCGCGCGGAGGTTCCGTGGAGGTCTCTCGATCTGCGCCTCCGCGCGGGGCTTGGCCGAGCTCCTGGCCTCCGAGGAGCCGAACGGGAGCGGTGCGAATGGAAAGGGGCGGTGCCCAAAGCAGATTGTGAGAAGCATATGGGCAACATGTGACACAAAACAACACCCTGCATTACAAAACATACTGAAATCTGTGGATTTTGTTGAAGCGCTATTAAATGTTATTTATTAAACTGTTGTTCCCTGGAAGTTTGTTACATAGATAGGTGTGTTTGAGTTGGATAGGGGAAAGTGTTTCTGTGGTGGGTCCACTTGAAACATGTGAGATGTTCCATGTGAGAGAGTATTAAAAAAACCCATGTAAGAAATTAGTATTCGCATGTCCGTTTTTCTGAAAGCATGCTCAATCCCCTGTAAAACGAAAAGGAAGCAAAAAAACAATAACCCCGATGACTCTTGTGCAAAACCCTTGACATGCGAGACGTGGTATATGCTTGGACAGAGGTGGAAGGGCTTGGTCCGCTGTAGCCTTGTGCTGCAGCATTGTCGTGCCACATGGTTTTCCAACTTGCACAAGGCATGAAAACGATAACAAAACGATAACAAAAACGATAACACAGCGAGCCTAAAACACCTTTCCGTAGGCAGGCCACCACATGGGTGTAGTTGGAATGAAGTGTGCCTAATGTCTTCACATCTGCAAGGTTCCACACACCACAAGCATGTAGTAGTGCACACGCTACATCACACTGTACCTAAATTATACTGTTACTACATTTGTTGCAGTTATGCAAAGTGCTGTAAAACGATAAGGAAGAAAAAAGAACGATAACGTCAAAAGTGGTATAGGGAAAGGTAGGGGGGGTTTTACACAACCTCATGTGTTTCGTGGGACCACTTTTTTGATGCTACACCCCTGCGGAAAGCCTGGAGCAACAAAAACATATCTACGACCGACCTGGTATATATTATATAACTATACTATATATATATAATAGTCAAGTAGATAGGAGATTGAGACAGAGACTGGTAGGGCTCCCTGGATACTTCACCTGTTTGGTGGTCTTGTCGACTTCACCCATCGGCGACGTCGACAGCAATCAGTGGATAACCCGCAAAAGCTTTTGGAGGATGAGTCTAGTTGTGACACATCAGGTATGAAAGAAACACCACGGTCCAGCGACCGTTCAAGACAACTAACTCATTGAGGACCGCCCTCCAAAATACGTTGCGTCAGTAATCTTAAGACTTGGCATGTGTACTCAAGATCATCTCCTTGAAGAAAAAACTTACCAAATGTGCCTAGCCTTGAGTCGAGAATCTGTGAGGTGGCTCAAACAAAAACACTGGGGCCCATGTGTTTTCCTTGTTCACGTTGTTTTCATGTGTTGTTTTGGAGTTTCCTTCGACTGGAGACACGAGGAGCTGCATGAGGACTTGGAGACCCTCCATGCATTGGCACTGGAAGGCCTTCTTTGCAGGGGAACTGGTGTTGTTTGACACGTGTGGCAGTGTGGAGCACGGTGGCATCGTTGGGTCCACCTTGAGGGTGCAGCATGTTCCAAGACCAAACGATCTACTTGTTCTGAGAATGACCGGCCTTGTCACTTATCAGTACATAGAGAATGGCGGGGAATGGGCGCAGCCTTGTCTTGAGATGGAGGATAGGCTAGGCCATTTGACTTGTTTTTGTTGCGAGTCGAAGCAGTGTCCCGCAGATTCCCGCAGCTTCTCAGCGTTAGCCGAATCAAGCATTTACATGGAAAAACAGGCCGCACATGCGGCAGGATGTGCATGGACAACATGGGTCGGGCCATCCCTGGCGGCCTGGAATCAGTGAAGTGAAGCAAGCAACTAATTGTTATATATATGTACTAACATTCTGATGAGATCCAGAAGTGCGTGCTCTTCTGACTTTAGGAACCTATCCTCCAGGCTCAAAATCTCTAGGCAAAATGTCAGACTTCTCAGTAAGAAACAGATACCCTTTCTACTTTCGCTTTCCCACTTGGTCAGTGACATCGGGCCACATCGTCTCTCATGGGCAAAATGTCGAATATGTCGGGCCTCATCTTCATCCTACATGGTCTCGGCCGGGTGTGATGATGTCATGTGACGTTTTTACCACCAACACAGCCCAGCTGCCCAGCTCCTGCTGCTTCTTCGCTCCCCCCCGCGGTCATGAAGCGCAAAGACCGCTCGGAGAGTCCGGTTCAGCCAACGGCGAAGCCCAAGCCCAAGTCGGGGCGCTGCAGCTTGCGAGGTGGATTTGGGAGGGTCGAGGGTTGGAAGATAAGGTCGAGGGTTTGGCAGATGCTGCAGATGCTATGTTCAAGTATGTTCAAGTCGATGTGGAATAGCCATGGGAAGGCAACTCCTTCATTGTACTTTCAGAGGTTGATTTGTAGATATTCAGAGGTGTTTACAATACCATGCATCTCCATTGTCGGATTGTTTATAGAAAGGATATCCACGAGTAGTGACAGCTGTCGGTGACCACGGTGACGAGTTTGACCGTCGATGGTCCAGGGAGACCAGAGATGGGGGTCCAGCTGTTCATCACTTAGCTTTTGGAGTTTTGACATCTACTGTCATCTACTCTACTCTGAAATCACACAGCCAATCCATACAGCGAGTGAAGCGTTCCCCATTAGCTCACGTCCGTGATCCATATCCCAAAAAACTCTGTGAAAGAGGAAGAAGTATCCAGAGTACCACAGTGTCTTGCTGTTTGGTGAACTTGGGGTATGAAATCAAAAGAGTCATCTCCCGATCCATTTGGGCATAATATAATGACCCCTGGGTTGGAATCCATTGAACACCTTCCATTCTCAAGCTATGATTCTGGGATAGAGTCAAAACGTAATTTAGATATCCAGGTGTTCATGGCGGTTTTGCCTTGTTTTGGTCTTTGAGTTGGTGTGTTGCCCTGTTTGTAGGGCACCAGGCACTCATTGCATCCAGTTGCATCCACGTTGCAGGTGTGGATGGATGGAAAGATGTGTTGGGCTTCGAAGAGCTTGGGGTGAGAGTGGCTGGCAAGTGCAACAAGAAGCTGCCCAAGAAACTTGGCTTGATGTTTGGATGAAATGCCATCGAAAGTCTAAGTCTCAGCCGCACCCTGAAGGCTTTGCAGACCAATCTATTGGACTAGCATATGTGCTCATCTGAATTCAACGACGGCAGGGCTGGGGTGTTTTTTGTTCTTGACACTGATCAGAATGGCACGGCATGTCCCGAAAGGACACAGTCCTGGTGCTTTGTGCCGCTCCTGTTCAGCGCCCTAGGCACCATTTGGTCGTGCGGGACGTGGTGGTCTCCGACGGACTGGTGTCAGTAGTGGCTGGTTGCTGTGGGTGAATTGATTGTAGGTAGTAGTAAAAAGAATTGTACTGTAAATAAATAAATAGATATATATTTATATGCATGATTATACATGATGATTGGTTGCCAGAGTTGTACACGCAACATGTTTAGGGGTTGTGATCAAGCCCATGACATCAGCAAAATGTAAGCACCCAGGGACTGACCAATTTTTCCATCACAAAAGGTTTGCCTATACACCCAGAACTAAGGGCAGCATCATTGAATCATGTGCACCCATTGTTGCTTCGTTTCAACACATGTCCGGTCCCATGAGCTGATAGGATCAAAGTGGGTCGAATAGATTTTTAGAACAAATACTTTTAGGAACCTAATAGCGATGGCCTCCATCCTAGGAGCGCCTTCAAGCTAGATTCGCCCAAACTCCAAAGATTGCTCTGACCGAACCTGCTGCGCTGAACTGTGGAGGCAAAGTGCCTGGCCATTTGGTGACCTCTACAACAAGCACAGAGACGCAGATTGAGAGCCTTGTCCAAGCAGAGTTAAGCAGCAACTGTTCAGTCGTTGCGACGGTTTTGAATGAGACCAGGCCAGAGATTGGCGTTGTGCAGATGTGCAGATGCTGAGACAGTAAGATAGTCTATAGGAATCTATAGCAGATTCCTAATTACGATGTGTGATGTACTTGAATCCATTATAGCACTCATTTAGTGCTCGGTCCCTTTCATCGGCCACGCCAGCCACTAGCATCCAACCGTGGCATCGTGGTTGCCTTATGTTGAACCCACTCCCACGCTAATCATGCTAACGTAAACAAATAAGGCGTCGAAGGCGAAGGGAATCATAATGAACTTGAACTGATTTCAGCATTGTACTTGTCGTCCTTTCTCCCTTTGTGCTGTGATCTGCCGCCAGCATGTTCCCACCTCAACCACACATGGTCTGATGTTTTTGGCCACCTTTCTCCTTTCTCAACGTCACTGGCCACCATGATGACCTCCTTCCCTTGACCACCTCCTTCCCTTTTGCCTCGTCATGCAGCGTCCAGGAGCGCCCAGGACTTCTGGGAGCGGCTCTTTTCGCATTGGCCGCAGTGGCGCCGGGAGCTGCGGAGCGTGATCCAACGGGACGAGGAGTGGGGGTGTCGCCGGGAGATGAGGTCATGGGAGGTCATCTTCTTCGAGGGCGGTGGAAGATGGATTGTACTTCCTCGGTTTCATGCACAAAACTCTTTTGGTGGATTCTAAGGAGACTGCCGATCAGTGTAACGTTTGTAAGTGTATGGCTCCCGATCAACTCCCTGCAGTGCCATGGCCATGTTTGCTTTCCGGTAAGAACGCCGGAATCCTTACTCTGGGGTCAGAAAACTTGGCTCAGGTTTTTGTAATGAGCCATTTATTGTGTAGGGAAAAACGCCTCTGGAACGAAAAAACCCAGATGCAGATGGCGCAAGCCATGTTAGGCGAAAAGCCGTGACAATGAATGGGAAACTACTAGTCGGGGATGGGTTTGGCGCCATCTACTTTTACAATCCGTTTCGTGAAAGACCGCTATAAAATGTTTGGCCCTGAAAGCAGCAGGCACGACATTAGATGGCGCAAGCCACCTTTCCAATGATGCGGGAAGGGAAGGCACAGGAGAAGTGAAAAGAATGAAGCAAAAGGAGATGAACAGGAAAGGAACATGTTAGATACAAGAAGGAATGGGAGAGGGAAATGAGTTGCGCCATCTATTGGTTCAACCATCCTAATCATTTTTCACACAAGGGTTGTGCCATCTACTGGGCTATTATCGTGCAGCGTTCTGTTATTGGTTCAAGTGCAAGCGCAAGGAAACGGAAAGGTAAGGGAAAGGCAAGGGAAGGATAGAGAAAGGACAAGTGAATGAAGGAAAGGAAAGAAAAGAAAGGCATCCAAGGAGAGGGAAAGGAGACATTAAGGAAAGGATAGCAAAGGTGAGGAAAGGAAAGCAAACAAAAGAAACATAAAAAGAAATAGATGGAAAGACTAGTCCAGAAAAGGAAGGGGAAGGGAAGGGAAAGGAGAAGTGAACAGAGTTAAGCAACAGGAGATGAAAAAAGGAACATGTTAGATACAAGAAGGACAGGAAAGGATAGGGGAATGAGTTGCGCCATCTATGGGCGCCACCATAATTATCATCTTTCACACAAGGGTTGCGCCATCTACTTGGCAGTATCTATTGGCCCAACCATCCTAATCATCTTCCACACCAGTGTTGTGCCATCTACTGGGCTATTATCGTGCA